TGTGTGAGTTAGTACCTCCCATGGTTGAAAGGCGTTGGGATTCTGACAGTCTTGAGCTTGGCACAGATCTCGAATGGCATAACCAAGGGCAAACACTGCAAGCTGAATACTATGAATGAGCCCTGGCTCAGTATAATCCCAGAGGAAGTCATTTCTCAGGAAGAAGTTCTTTTTTATTATCTCCTTGTTAGCCTTGTAGGGCAAAGTCCCCTGAGAATGGTTGAAAATGCATTGACTCAAATCACTGTCCTTGACATATGCACAGGCAGACAAAAGCATGGCACATTCATGTAAGGGTTTGTTATTGTCACTGGGAAACATATGCAGATTTTGAAGAAAGGAATGGAAAGAGGACATATTCCCTCTTTTAAAGGCAAACCCCACAACTTTGCCAATCTTTTTAACATTAGGAATGGTGGTAATCTTGGTGGCAGTTGACCAATTATCACTAGCAATCCAGATCTTATTTATATTCCTTTCAATGGCTTTATTGAAGAGATTGAAAACATGAAATTGTCGCAGAAATACCACAATGACATTAACCTGGGCTTCTGCCATGATTTTCTCAAGTGTCTGATTGATTCTGATGTCAATGGTATTATCTGAGAAGAAGGCTGGGAGAACCTCTTTGAAGGCTATGCACACATTTTTTTCTGCAGTCTGAATTGCAAAAGCATTGAGAGCCAATCGTCCATAGTCATCATCTGTGGTTATGATGCCAATCCAGTTCCATCCAGATTTCTGAATCAGGTGGACCATTGCTTTGGTTTGATAGAAATCACTGGGCACAGTCCGTAAAAATGAAGGAAAGCGAATTTTGTCACTCAGGATTTCTGCAGTTGATTCATAACTCACCTGGAAATGGATGGAATCTTTTAGTTATGGTGTTGATGAGTTCTAGGTGGCTGCTTAAATAGGTGATCCCCTCTTTGATTTCCACGAGTTTCCATAACATTTTCCTAAGTTCTCTGCTCCTTTCTATCCTTCCCCTTATATGAATTCCTACTTTACATATAGCTTAAGTCATGATACTTAGCACCTGATGATGGTTTAGAGTCATTGCTCTCTAATCATTTCGTATTGTGTATAGTATATGCCGTCTGAAGGTTCAGGCTCTATCTCCTATCTCCATTTACACCTCTAAATTCATTTGTATCTATCTTGTATCTCTGGCCAGTGTCAATAATAAATATTACTTAAATACGTAGAAGTAAATACAGGAAAAATGCAGCCAGTCAAATAAGCAAAATGCATTTGGGGACACCATGTTGTGCAAAATCTTGTCTAAATCACAATCCTGGTGGTTTTGTTCTGGGTAAAATTATCCAGTCAAGTAAACTTCTAGTCCCGGCATCAGCAAATTTTTTTTGTAAAGGACCGGATATAAAATATTTTTAGCTTTGTTGGTCATATATGGTCTCTGTCATATCTTCTTTTTTGTATTTTTTGTTAAAACTTTATAAAAATGTATAAACCATTCTTAGCTTGACAACTCAAGAGCATGAGAGCCACATTCAGTCTGTGGGCTATGGTTTTCCGATCCATGAGCTAGTCAAATAAGCATTAGCATTTTGAAGGACCTACCTAATAATGTATGCAAAGTTTCACCTGATTTATAACTTTGGTGATTTTATTCTAAGGAGAATTATCACCTTCTATAGATGCAACAGCAGCATGTCATTTGCTCAGCAATTTGTTTCTTACTATTTATAGCAGCCATGTGGTATGGTGGAAAGACAACAGGCTTTGGAGCCAGACTAACTGTTAGAATCCTGACTCCAATAAATTTAGGAAAGTTACTTAAAGTTTCTTTACCTGTAAAATTATAGGATTCTTGTTAAGATTAAAAGAGAAAGTTGAAATTGATACTAACACACAGTGAAATTTCAGTACACCTGAGTTGCCTTCCCAGTATCTGATGTTGCTATGCTTGGCTGCATTGTACGAGCCTGGCTTCTGTAAAATCAGTGTTACCTGTAGAGGATCCTCTTTCCTTTTATGTTGTCTATTATA